GATGAAATTATCAGAATTTTGTAACCACTTCCAGTACTTTATAAAACTTTTTGGTTCAGATTTTTCTTTATTCTAGGAGGAGACATATGAACAGCATTTCTAATACTTTTTAAAAACCTTTCTGCCTTGAATGCTCATTAATTATTCATGTTAGGAGCAGAGGAGATGTAGAGCTGCTCTGATGTCAGATAGCTGGTGTAGTAATGATAAGGTTCCCATACTAAGCAAACTTTTGTTCTCTAAATAATTAATATTCTTAACTTACTTTATTTTTTATTTTTTGTTCTTTCATGCTTTTATATACAACTATTTTTTTTTTATAATTTCCCTGGCCCTGTCCCAGCTTTTATCTCTTTTAAAAAGGGCCTTATTCTGTGTTTTGGATTTTTTATTGACAGTGCTGTGTTTTTATTATTATCATAAACAGGATCCATGCTCTGTGAGACCACATAGAATTTGGCTGATAAAATTGGTAAAATTTCTAAATCTGAATTAAGTTGTACACTTTAAAAAAACAAAGGCTTATGGTGTCTTTTACAGCTGATATGTAATGATAGACAATGTCTGAGCAAAATTCCTAAAGTTAGTTCAGATCTTTAGTTTGAAGCATTTTAGCTTCACTAGACAATTAAGGAATGCAGATTAGTAAAGTTAGTCATGTGTGTAATTTAAACATGATTATAGAAAATGCCACTAAAATACTTTAATTTCTATTATGTGAAATTTAATTCAATGATAATGTAAAATTATAAAACAAATACAGAGGAATGAACATTAAATCATATAATTTCATACCATAATAAAATATTGATTCATGAAAGATGGAAATAAAAATAGCGATATAGGGTTATATAGTAAAGGGATTTTTCAATATTTAGCTGAATGTGAAACACTGGGTAACAAAAAAAAGCAATTGTTGTCAAAAAACAAATGTTTTGATTACATCTCTGACACTTATTATACAGTATTAAAAAATGGTTTAGCAGCTAATAGGAAAGTGTAGCAAAGAAAGTATCCAGTATTTTGCTAAATCCGAAACAATATAATAATAAAAACCTAATGAATTTTCAAAGAAACACGTTATAGATTAATTTCTAACATTGTTCCATTTTCTAACTCTGTTTTCTTATTGCAAAGAAAGGCCTCGTAGCTCCTGGGACTGTGTAAAGAGTTGGCTTTGCACAACTTACATCAATTTGAAACGCTCGGATAATAAAAAATGTTTGTTCACAAACATATGTTTTAACTTATTAGTAAATAATTCAATAAAATAAAATAATATTATTTTGTCTGAGATAAACAGCTTTAATAAAATAGTTCCCTGGATGCCTAGTGTCACCAATTATCTTCATACCCCAATTTACACTAATTTGATTTAACATCTTACTGCAAAAAATACAAAAAATTAACTTTTTGTACAACTAAGTATAAACTCAGGCATACAGGGTTAAAGGTAATACAGTTTCCACTGAAAGAGCTAAAATCTCACCTCTTCCTATGGATTCATTTTCAATAATGAAGTCATTGTCAAAACAGCTAACTTTAGGCTCTCTTTCTGCACTAGGCCTTACAACCTTTACATGGAAGACAATGATCAAATTTAACCCAGATGATTTCTTTAAATGGGGAATTCTCTCTTTGAAATGAAATGAAATGTTTGAGTTTCTGTTTAGGCCATCATAAATTAAGTGGAGGCCAGCTGCACCCTACTACTGGTTGGATATTTAGTGGTAACAGCTCAATTGTCCTCAATGTTCATGTTTGTGCTCCTGTGCTTTAAATTTAGCTCTTCCTTGTCGCTTCCTAAATGTAACGTAGTGTTCCATTTTCTGCAACCAGTCCCACAGTGTCATAAGCAGCCTGTCTGTTTTCATCACTCTTCCCTTTGGATTTACACTCTAACAGCTCTAGAAACCATCCTACATGATGATGGCTGCAGTTTTTTGACTCCTGACAGGATTCAGTGAACGCAAAAGATTTTTGGAAAAATTGGAAAGCGGACAAGGACAGTAGAGGAAAAAAAAAAAGAAAAGCCCAGTATCCCTCTCCGGCAGAGCAGATGGTAGTCGGAGCTTTAGTTGACTTGCAAATGTCCTGCTGTTCCAATGTTACAGTCACGAGGATCCTGTCGGAGCATCTGGGCTTGTCTATACAACATGTCACTATGCCAACAGCGAGAATGAAGCTGATGAGGATTTTCAGCCGTTAAACCTCCAATGTCTCTTTACTCATCAAAATAAGACACTCGCCTACTGACTCATTTGCCCTGTTTGAGTGTCCTGTAACATAAAGTCCTCACACCATATGTGCAAAAAACAGTAACACCGACTTGGATGGCCTTATGAACATCACTTGACAGCTTTGCTAATGATATAGTCCATTATAAGAATTAGAACTGAAAGTCATTTCTGAGCAGCCTTCTTTGTTCTGGCAGTGAACTAAAAAAAGAGAGATGAATGTCTTATAGCTCTGGAACAATGTGGTTCAGATTACATTAATTGCTCCTGGTACACTGCAAAGTAGTGTCCATGCATGCAAAAGCTGGTGTAAAATCCTGATTAACTTTGATCTCTTTTCATAACTTTTCACTTGTTAATGTGATTTCACAGAACCAAAAACTTGCTGAGAGTGTGTCAGGAGCCCTATCTGGCTCTGGGATCTATTTTTAAAAATAGCATATCTTTCTCGCTCTCGTCATGCGCTTCTGCAAATATTCCAGCTTGTAAAAGTGGGAAGTAGAAATATAAAAAGGCCAAGTCCAGGGAAAGTAATTTCCAAGAAGTGAGAGCTGGTTGGTGCAGTTACACCTTCAATTGAGCTGTAGGCTTATGAAATGTGGGCAAGACATGTGAAGGAGTTGTGCTAAGATGCTTAAAGATCTAGTTCAATAATGGAAGCTTCATCATGAATGATAAAATAAAAATAAAGTATTTTTTTCACATATTTACTACTTTTTTTAAATGCATTACACTGGACATCTAGTATTCCTTTATTGTTGGGCAAACAATGCAACAGATTGATGGGTGTAACATGGGAAACCATTGGCAAACATTTAAAGAGGGTTAAATATTTTGCATGGACGGCTGTTAATGTCTTAAAAATAATATCCCTAAATAGATAACATATCATATCACAGTAGTCATTAAAAAAAACTACTTAATCTAATATCTTTTCTTTAAACAGAAAACAGTTAATTATGCTGCAAAAGTAGCATTTCTAATTATGTAAGTAAAAATAGTCTCAATACAGGGAACCATATTGGAGAAATTTACCTCAGCATTAAACCGATTCCCGTGGCGAGCAGTGGGATGCCTCTGTGCGGCATAAAGGGAGCAGTGTGGGGTTAACGGTCTTGCTCAGGGACCCAGAGTGAAGGCTGTGGGGATCGAAACCAGGTACTTCTAACCTTCTCAGAGCACAAGCGCACTGCTAGAACCAGTTGGCCATCACTCCACATTACTGCCATAAAAATTAATTTCTTACCCAAAAGAGCCACATTAAACACTGAGGTCAAGCTTAGAGAGAGATGCCACACATTTCCAGTGAATTTGAAATCAACTTTTTAAAGATTTAACCTTCAACCAATCAAGCAATGGTAATGGATGTTTTTGATGGTATATCTTGCTGATATAAATCCCAAAATGAAAAAGTTAAAAGTCTTTTGCAATATTAAATTCCCTCTCCTGTAGAAGATTCAACTGAAGTGATATTTCTGTTGTTTACCACTGGACTAAAGCAAAAAAAAAAAGTTATGCTTGTTGAGTAGAATATATTTTTCCTTATTGCTGTTATGTTTTATACAAAATACTACTGGCTGAGCTCCTTACCAGACATGCTTATATCATCCCAAGTGTTGTTATAAATCCGACGAACCTTTATAATAGGAGTATTTTCTTAGTTTTCACGTCTTGACTCGTTATGCGTTCCAGAACCAGTCATATTTCAGAACCAAGAGCCACATAGGTCCTTTTTCTATGGAAGATAAATCTGTATCAGTGTTTTTCTGCTAGATGCACTCAGTGGTTGGGGAGAGGAAACTGTAGTTATTTTGGGTTTGGTATATTATTGCTGATTTTTTCCCTGAAGGAATGACAGATTGTATTTTTTACAAAGGATTTTTAAATGACTTTTTAAAACCTTTATAAAGGCAAACAACCCTATTGTTTACTTACTGAGGTATTAATTTGCTGCTGTTTGAGGTACATTGGTCGCAGGGCATGAAAAACTCCAAAAACTATCAAGTTTTAGTCCAAAAGTGAGTTTGCAAGGATGCCAGTCCCTTCCCTCAATTGTGCTGCAGCAGCTCGCCTTACCTCATGCTGGCAAAATCCAATCGGTGTACCTTACATAGATGAGTTTGCATCGATCTCCCTCGCTTTCTCCACAGCAGCAGACAACAGGTAAGAGGTGTGGTACTTGCTGCCGTTCGCTATCTTTGATGATATTTAGCTCTAATTAAGTTTTTTCCCCTGAGAGAAAGCTGGAAGGGAGTGAAAGGAGATAAAAAACCTCTGCAAGCAGAGTGCTGTGCTGCAATCAATCCCGTCTCTTTCTCTCTGCTGCTGAGCCAGGGAGGATGAATGGAAGGCAGCTTTCACATCTACGCAAACTGCAGAGAAGTAATAAAAGAACCATGGCTCAAGCTTTACCTGGAGATGGAGGAGCAAAGCCTCCATCCTTTTGTGGTTGTTGCCCTCAAGTGTTTTAAAGTGAGGCAATTGCGGCGATTTATTTCCGGTTTTATGGAGGCTCCCTCCACAATAAAGATGGATTTAATGGCAGCAAGTAAATCCCTTTTCCTGAAAAGATTCTGGATTTTTATGTGTCAATTATTTGGCTGGTTGATTCACTGTGGAGTAAGACTACTGAAGTGTCTGACTTTAAAAAAAATACAGCTTTGGTTAAAAGAAAAAGGTTATTTTAGAAAGGATCTAGCTATTGCATTTATAATAAGTTTGTTGTCATACAAATGTTAGAATCACAACCTGATTTGTTTCCAGGTGTGTAAAGGACTGAACAGCACCACTATGAGCTGCTTCGCCCCCTCCCTCATGGCGGAATACTTCCCGGGTTTGGACTCTGTGAAACACGCCGACGAGTTTGGCTTCGTCTTCAACAATGTCCAGGCGCTGTTGGTCTACAACAACACTAACCTCGTATACTACCCAAACCCTTTTTTTGAACCCCTCAGCACCTCTGGTGTCCTGGAGCAAAAGCCAGGTTCTCCAATCATTCTCAAGGTAAAGTGTTAGAAAAGACATGTTTTGCATCTGCAATGCTTTGAAAAGAAATTTCCGACCCCTGCATGTTTTCAGATTTTTTCATGTTATAAAACTCTAAAGAAATAATGAAGACCAGTGACTGGTCAGGGATGAGATTATGCTTAAGTTTAAATAAGGGTTAACACATATGAATGCAACCCCAGTCCTTGAAAATCTCTCAGAGCAGAGCAATCCATCATGTGGAAATGATTTACAATTAAACTCTCAAAACATGGCTAACCACCTGAACAGAATCATGGTAATGCTGAAGGAGGCGCTGGGATACAGTTCTATGTTGGAAGACTGTAGATACAGGATTGAAATCTGCTAGCAGCATCTTATTGTAAGGTTGAGTATATCAAGCATGGGCAGGCAAGCTGTATTTAGAGGTGATTGAACAATATAAGCCTGTATGCAAGGCATCTCTGTAGAAGATATGTTAGAGGCTGCAGAGAAGAGGGGTTCACTTTCCCTGAGCCCAAACATCTGCTGGAGCTTCAAGAGTGCATTTTAGAACAATTGTTAAAAAAGACCCAAAGTTCAAACCTAAATCCTATCAAGACACAATCCAAATTTAAGCCTACGCTATTGTGCCAAGAATACTATAAAACATGTCAGTGCCTAGATGACAAAGCTTGTACAGACGTAATGCAAATCACTTCTGGCTGTAAATACAATAGCTAATGGTAGAAAGAGATGGTAAACCATTGTTTGAACCTCCCACACTGACTTACATCTGCATCTTTATTCAAAACTTATCTTGTTCTTGTTATCTTTTACTGGATTGTGGCAAAAGCAAATTTTCATGATATTTTTTTTTATTCTTTTGTAGGAACAGAATTTATAAGCATTACATTTCAGTGATTTGTCTTGATCATATGTTATTGTGGTACTTTGACACATCTAACAATGTCAGATCTAAAAACCATATTCTGCACCAGCTGCGTCCAAAACCAGTGGATTATAATTAGATGGCAGATTGGATTTTTTAGGATCATAAAAAAGCTGTGATTTTTATTTTATTTTTTCTGACGTCTGTCTGTGTGTCTGAGTTGATCCTTTCTGTCTAAATCCATATGCCTACAGGGCAGAAACCTGATTCCCCCAACGTCTGGAGGGGCGAAGCTTAACTACACTGTACTGATAGGCGAGACGCCCTGCTCCGTCACAGTGTCTGAGAGCCAACTACTGTGCGAGCCACCCAACCTCACCGGCCAATACAAAGTTGTGGTCAGTCCTGCTGTGTTTTACTTCTGCTTTGACGCTCTGTGTTTCTATCTTTCCCATTTATCCTTGAATTTGTGTTTTTTCCTCAGCGCCTGGCCTTTACACTCTATTATTTGTGTTCACATCATTGCTCATTCAGCTGCGGGAATGAGGTCAAAAGGGAGGGCAGCTCCTGCTGTCCAAAAGTTCTGACTAAAACTGCAGCAATTATTTTTACTTGCTTGCTCCGTTATTGAGTGCATGCCCCAAACTAATTCCTTCCCAACAGCGGCACACAGGTAGTCGTGTTTACACCCAGCGTCAGTTTGAGGCAACAATACTAACTTTGGCTCTTAAAAAAAATGGGTTTCTGTGTAGCAATCCTGATGCAGTGTAGAGAAGATAAAAAAGAAACAGTTAAAATTAATTCAAGATGTAAGAATAAAGTCTCACTTAAATCTAGCTCTTAATCTCGTTCCATTGACCATTTCTCTGGCAGGTTCAAGTCGGAGGCCTCCATGTTTCACCCGGAGCAGTGCACATTATGTCTGAGAGCCTCCTGACCCTTCCCGCCATTGTTAGCATCGCCGCAGGAGGCGGCCTCCTCCTCATCATCGTCATCCTCGTGCTAATCGCCTACAAGCGGAAGTCACGTGAAAACGATCTCACCCTGAAGCGTCTGCAGATGCAAATGGACAACCTGGAGTCGCGCGTCGCCTTGGAGTGCAAAGAAGGTCGGTGTCACACCGGCACAGTCTGCATGTGGGCAGAATGAGAGTCAGATTTTAAAAACACAATAATCATGGATCTTTTAGGCCTTTCATGGTCTAATTACAGTATAGACCATGATTTAACTATCTGCTCAATAACATGAATATAAATGGTGCTGAGCAGCGCCATTTATTCCACTGACTTGTTAAGAGTAATCACATAAGTACAAATGTGTTTTCAAGCATAATATACAGTAATTTACTGCCGGTCTGTGTGCACACATTAAATTAAATAGTTAAATTATCTCCAAATCCAGGCCAGTGTGTCATCATGACTAACAGATTTAGTTACCACTGCTTGTGACCCTTCCCCTCAAGCAGTAAATCAGACAATAGCAGGGAGGGGAATTTAGTTACATTTACACAAGTACGTTCTTTTTAACATACTTTTAGTAGTAGATTTTCTGCATTTTATTTTTGTTTACTAGGCAATATAATAAAGTAACACTACTTCTAATGCTTTGAAACTGTTGGTTACTCTACCCATTAAGAGTAACTTCGCTCATTAATGAATAAGCTTGTTATAAACAAAATTAAACCCGAGAGACACGCCTTACAGTTTATGTTTAAGTGAGACTTCCTTTTTGAACATAATTTCAAGTGAAAATACATTAACCAGTACTCTATGGCTCAGTTTACATTGCAGACAAATGTGGCCCCAATCTGATTTTTCTGTGCTAAAGGGACTCTGGTGAGATTCTTTCATGACAGTGTGAACAGGCCAAGTCAAATGGAATCTGACTTTTTCAAATCAGATCTGGGCCTCATTTTTATGTGTTTTTAATTCCAATAAAGGTTGGATCTTTTAGAATTGGTCTGAAAAGCAAAGCAACCCATATCGGAATTAGCATGATGATGATGATGTCACTCTGTACTAACAGCGCGTAACCAAAAAATAATAACAAACATGAAGGACAACATAGACAATGGGGGGGACAACAATATTTCACAATTAATACGTATTTAGGCACATAAAACAGTCTAAACCAGACTTGAGGGGTCATACAGTAACAGGTATAACAGGTTGTGTCAATTGACAACAACGCTGCACCCAGACACTTCTCCTCAGAGATGTCACTGCAACTGCCCCTCCAAAAGCCATGATTAATAGCTCTCTTTCTCCTTTCTCTTATTTTCCTCATTGTCTCCTACATCGTCAGGCTACTTCCACTGCTTAACAGCTTTAAATCCATCCATAGACAATGATTTCGGACACGTGTCACTTCAAGGACACAATGTGAGATGGTCATTTGAACACTCATGCAAAAAAAAAATAGGAATTAGCATTAAGCATAAAATAGCATTAAGACCTGCAGTGTGAAAGTAGCCTGTAGATAGTTTTATAATGGAAACTATATCAAGGAGACTGTTGCTTCTACCCTAAATTGTTATGGTGTTATTATCGTGTTATATGTTTATTTTTATATCATTCTTTGAAATACCAGAGTTTGTATATAACTTTATATTTTGTGTAACTCTGTATTTTTTAAATATCAGTTTAGATGTTACAATCATAAGTTACAAATATATAAGGTACTCAATACTTCAGTAGCCTTTATAACCATTGCTTTTTAAGTGTTACTTGAGTAAAAGCTTGGATGGCTATATTTAGTAAAAATATGATGAAGTAGTGCTACTTTCCTTGACCATAATTTCCAACTCTGGATGGTAGCATTTAGAACATCATATTCTGGAAACTGGGTAGGAGCTTAGGCAACTACTCTAACTAGATGATAAGTTAATAAGTTAGTCCAGTTTTTTATGCTTCACCTAAAGTTCTAACTTCTTTCCACTTCTTTCCTATCAGTCGTATCAAGGTATTGTTTTCTATGTGATGTGTAATTAGCGCTTGGTATGACATACTTCTTTAGATGTTAGGTACATTTTCTCAGCATTTATGTGAACTCTGCTTAGCCACATAATGTTGACCTCTGACCTTTACTTATTAGAGTTCTACTATACTATTCCAGTACATTAAAGGACTGGGAAATTACTTTGGTTGTTAGCATCTTGAATATCAGATTCTTAATCATTCCAAAAACTCTCTGAAGGTTTTCCAGGATAAACAGACATCCCAGTAGTTAAACCTGAACTTTGTATCTTTACATGTAGGGAATGCTCCTATTCACCCTATTGACATGATCAACAGGTATCTCTTCTAACAAGGACAAAACAATCACTGATCAGTATAACCCCTCATTAAAATGGCAAAATTAGCTCAATGTCTTTCATTCTTCAGAGAATTTCATCAGCTAGAGAGGACCTTGTTAGCCGTCCCCTCTGGCTGCCCCTGATCAGCTTTCCCAGTGTTATTAAGCTGTGGAAAAAAGCAGAGAACTGTCAAATGACAGACAGGCAGCTCAACACGCAGTAGGCAAACAGAGAGAATCACACCTTCAGCCTTGGGAAAGCAGAAGATTAATGTTTAACCATTAAGCAACCAGGTGAGTCTTGCCTTGCAGGCTGGATTTAGATAGGAGCCTGGGTTCCGCTGCAAGTTGCTACAAGTCGCAGGGGTACTGTGAGGCCAGGAGACCAGGACTAAGATTGTATAGCAGGGTTTAGAGAAGGGGGTTAGGGGACCGCTGCTGTTCATGTGATAGGCTGCAAGCAGGGAGGCTCCCCAAGGGCAGCCCAGACGAGCAACCGAGCCCTGGGCCTCAAGCAGCCTGAGTCAGGAAGGAGCCAATTAACTGGGGCTCACCTGCAGCCCCACACTGAGCTGGCACAATCTTTTTGGCCTTTGCAAAAGCCAATTTACCAACTGGGAGATAAAAAATAAGCAGGAAAAATGGAGGTGGGTGTGTTTGTGAGAAAGTCCACTTTTCTTTAAGAGAGAGTTGTGAAAAGCCTCTGATGTGAGGATGATCTTAAGCTTTCTCCTCATCATGTGTGCAGTAAACACCATAAAGATAAGAAGGATTCTCTTATTTGCTCCTCTGGGATTAAAGAGCAGTTTTATTTCTGAGATGCATTTCTTATGTATTTTTTTTCCCACAGCATTTGCAGAGTTGCAGACCGATATCAATGAGCTTACCAGTGACCTGGACAGAGCTGGTATCCCCCATCTAGACTACAGAACATATGCCATGAGAGTCCTCTTCCCCGGCATTGAGGATCATCCCGTCCTCAGAGAACTGGAGGTAACAAACTGTGGAGATTGAGGAAAGAGTAGAACAAAAGATAACTTAGACATTAAAGCAGCTAATGCATTAAGAATGGCCTGAGAGAATGGTTAGAGAGAGGTTAGAAGAAACAAGGAAAACTGCAGAGTGTGTCTCATGTCACCATCCCTGCTGTAGCGTAACCTCCATAACCACTGAATTGCTCAGTGGGAGAAAGGATACCAGTCTGCCAGTTATGCTTCCTAGCAGCTAATGCATTAAGAATGGCCTGAGAGAATGGTTAGAGAGAGGTTAGAAGAAACAAGGAAAACTGCAGAGTGTGTCTCATGTCACCATCCCTGCTGTAGCGTAACCTCCATAACCACTGAATTGCTCAGTGGGAGAAAGGATACCAGTCTGCCAGTTATGCTTCCTACTCTGCGGTCTCACACGTATGCTTAGTCAGTCATGCAGGCTAGAATATACACCCACACACACGCACTCATATATATATACCTCACATGAAGGCTCCCTCATGGAAAACAGGGTCCCAGCACATTGCTATTTCATCCACCAGTGGCTGCAGTATGAGGGGTAATGAAGTGAATAATTCCCACTTCTCAAGCAGGAGTGTGGCCTCTTCCACTAAGATGAACTGTCCGCTTAATACTTTTTACTCCTTCTCACACCGTAATGGCAGTGCTGGGAAATGACTTTGGTTTCCTGTTTATTTATTTATTTTTTTGTTTAATTTGTTTTTGTTTTGGTTGGATTTAATTTAATGTGAAGCAATCTTTAAATTAGGACACTGCCAAGAGGTCCTCAATAATTACAAGCAAATGATGTTATCTTAATGTTAAAGTTTGTATGGCAGTTTGAGAAGAGCTATTCAGTTCAGTTCATATATTTAACAAAATTTCATATCTTAAGGCACTAAATAAAGATTCAGTCAAACTCTTAAACTTTTGATTCCACTTGATAGACAGGTTTCTGTTTAAAGAGACAGTTCATCCTTCTAAAGAAGCATGTTGACAGTAAGCTGGTGAAGATTCTCAGTCATCCAGGTCATAGTCTTTCCAAAAAAAATAACATCCACAAGATGTTTCGCTTCCCATCCAGGGAGCTTTTTCAATTCAAAATGTCAGAAATAGTGTTGAGTTCAAAGCTTTATAGAGTGGAACAAAGCAGAGCTTTTTTTTGGCTCAGAAACATGCAAATTAACACAGAGGAACGACCTCCTCAGGACCAGACTCTGCGGTACATCTACACCTTATGGACAGAGGACGTCTATGTTAAGAAAAAGCAACTAACTTTAAACAGAGGGGGTTGACTCAGGTTTCAGCTTGCAAAAACCTAAAATTCAGTGATTGAGTTGATTCCTTCCGCTATCATCGCAAGCCCCACCCTATTACAGGGGAGCAGAACACCTCGCCTCTTCAGTCAGGCCAACAATTCCCTTTAACGACCCCCTCTCAGAGATATAGTCAGGTTTCGGGTATTACTGGCTAACAAAGAAACCAAATGACCCCCATTCCTAAGGTGTGGACCCGTTCGTCAGGTTCAATTTGCATGTTTTCTAAGCCAAAAAAAGGCTTTGCTTCGGTCAACTCTATAAAGCTTTGAGCTCAATGCTATTTCTGACATTTTGAATTGAATTAGCTTCCTGGATGGGAAGCAAAACATCTGCATACATAATAATCAGATTATGGTGTAATCTAAGAAAGAAACAAGCTTAACAGAGAAGCACTGTGCAAGGAGTGTTTTTATTTATAAAACAAGGAATTGATATAATGGAGTACACATAGTTATTAGCAGAAATAGTTGCATCAAAACTGAGTGAAAAAGTCTAATAGAAGGAAAACAAAGATATGTGCATAGTTATTATCAGGATAAGGTCTGAGAAAGGTTTTACTCAAAAACATAAAACAAAAGTCTGGGTCAGGAGCAGTTTCTGCCTGAAATAATAATGAACATGAAAATGTAGCTCAGTAATTGGATCAGAAATCTCCTCCTTTAGAAATAAGCCAGAAAGAGCCATATAATCTTTTCAAATTTGTAGAAAAAGGAGTTATTTTTATTCTCTGGTCAATAATTGATTAGCATCTTCTCAGTTCCTCACCATGATTAAAAGTCTGCCTGCCTGGAGAAAAATAGCACTAATGACTTATGTAATATGTTTTGGTTTAGTCAAGGTCACAATAAACTGTGAGGAGCCAGATGTTTCAGAAAGGTTTGTTCTATTAACAAACTTTATGAAGGTAATGCTTGGGGCCAATTAGTTTACACACATAACAGAACCTGGCTTAAAGATTCCCAATAAGAACTTGCATTTGCAGTTTTCTTCTAGTTTTTTTTGTGTGCATCCAATAAGAAGGAATGATGCAGGTGATCTACAAGGGTTGCAGTGCAAATTTTAAGACATTCACATTTGGTTCCACACATTGAAATGAGCTGATTGCATGTTCTACTGGCGGGTTGAGACCGTCTGTAAAAGAAAGGTGAAGAGCAAAGCCACGGAGACGGAGGAAATGATCTTAAGGATAATGTTGAATCAAATAATACTGCACCGCCTAATGCTACAGAAAAAAAGAAAAGAAAACTTAACCGTGCTTTGTACATGGTTGCTTTCGGTATTGAATGAAGGGGGGGAAATGAGCTTGAAATCTCAAATTTTTGTTAAATAAGACACAGACATTAGACAAGGCAAGACCCTTGACCCCCGATTGCTCCCCAGGCGCTGCAGCTCACTGCTCCCCAAGGGGATGGGTTAAGATGCAGAAGTGAAGATCAATGGTTCTCAATTATTATAATTGATATTATGATTAATATTGTTTAAGTTCAGCCCTTGTTTTTAGATCTGGTTTAACTATATAAGGATTTTTTGTGGCCCAACTGGATCTCTACCAGTCTCTAGACATTTTTTTCTCTATTGATATTATTCTGCCTCAGCTGAGTTTGTGATTTGGAAAATTGCAAAAGATTCTTGCATTAAATATTAAAATTTGAATGTCCTCCTTCACCTATAAATCAACAGGGCTTGCTCATTAGAATATGCTCTGCTTATTGATGAATGAAAACATTCAAGTAATTTTTTGCACATGGTGTTTGTTGAATAGCAAAAGGAAATCACTTTGCACCTTCTTTGAAGATCTGCTCTGTGCATTCAAACTAATTTTCACCTGTTTAAAGACACACAAACCTTCTGATGATCAGGCTCACAATCTCTCCTCCTTCCTCTCCAGGTGTCAGGCAACGGCCAGCAGAATGTAGAGAAGGCCCTGAAGCTGTTTGGTCAGCTCATCAACAACAAAGTGTTCCTGCTCACGTTCATTCGAACGCTTGAGATGCAACGCTCTTTCTCCATGAGAGACCGCGGCAACGTGGCCTCGCTCATCATGACGGCCCTGCAGGGGCGTCTGGAGTACGCCACTGATGTTCTCAAACACCTGCTGTCTGACCTCATCGATCGTAACCTAGAGAGCAAGAACCACCCCAAACTGCTGCTACGCAGGTACAGACATTTCTCATTAAGCTGTTTACCTGCTTCGCTTTACAAAACATCACCTTTAAAGGAACGAAAGTGAAAGAACATAACACATTCTTTACATTTATGTCTTAATTTGAACTGTAACATTTTCAAGATTTCCAGACCAATTAGCATAAGGATCAAAATTAGATAAAATTTGTTTTTATTATTTAAAATTATATTTATTAAGTGTTATAATCTCTTATAATTAGTATGCGTCAAGTAACTGTTTCTGATGTTTGATGTAGTTCAAAAGAAACACAATAAAAATACTATGGATCCTGCCTGTTGTGAACTTAGTTATGCAGACGCCAAACACAGACTCCTCATTTAAAATCGTGGGAAAAAGTGCAGACGAGTAGGAAGATGTTGATCCGTATTGACAGATAGATGAGGATTCATTTAGAGCTGCGTGTTCTTCACCCTTTTTCCCCTTTTATGCAAGATGATTTTCCCGAGGAGAGACATCTAACCAAAGAACGGCTTGTAATAAGAGCTAGTGTACATCTTCAGTTTGTGGAGATAACTGACATGTAATATTCACATCAGAGGAAACATCTGAATTCTCTACATTCTCGCTGTTTCTGTCTGTCCCACCGCTCGCTCTTAATGCCAGTCTCACTTATGCTCCAGGCTCGGGCATCTTATAAAACATTCACATCAAGCTCAACTTAACTCCTTCTCTCTCTTTGTGTATCCAGCGTGCATTGTGCTGCTCGGTAGTTGGGATGATGTTTTAAAATTTTAAACACCCCGCATGTCCTTTTCTCAGTGTCCTTTGCTGCTTTTGTTAGGTCTGTAGATGCGAACGGACGGATGAAGAACTGTCAGATGGAAATATATGCACCAAACACATGCCAACGTATCAAGCCCAACTGTTACGTTCGATTTTCCTTATGTTTACATGACTAACAAGTTGAGACAGTGACGGAAGGCTGATGCTATAGTTTAAGACAGCATGTTTATTCTTATGTTCCTTTATTGTCTGTATTTGATAAATCAACAATAATTGTCAAAGCAAATAGCTGGGAGGCAGAAAGCATTGCCTCTAAACAGAGGGGGTGAACAAAAGCAGCGAAGCTTCAAAAACCCAGATAAAGTTATTTCACATGACAGCAGGGTCTCACGTCACCTCTATGTTTTCATTATCCCATCTCATTAGAAACCCAGTGGTACATAAACCTCAGGTTTCCTCTATTGCTGCCTGGAGGGCCTAATGTCCTATAGTTTGCTACATTTACTCTCATTTTTCTGGGAGAAATTAGAGGGATTACAACCTGACATGGCTTGTGTTGCTCTGCTGTCGTCGTCGTCTTTATCACGTATTTAGAGCAACGCCGACTGTCGAGCCAGACAACTGATGTGCATGCATTTATCCAGCAGACAAATACACTCACCTGTGATGAAAATCAAACTGAATGTGTGATCAAAGGGTTTGTTTTTGTGTGGTGTGCTGTGTTTTTATTTGAGGTTTTCACCTTTATGTGATGTTAAATATTTCTTTAAATACATTAACTCTTCCTTTAATTAACAATTGGGTCTATAAGGCGATCAAACTTATTTCAGCAGCAGATAAAGTTACCCCGAGTCAATACAAGGGTATTTTTATATTATGGTTTCAATTTATCAAGTGGTAAAAAGCTATTGAAGGCAACCGCCATGAAAAAGTTATAAAGCCCTATAAGCCTGATTTCTGGTTGAGCCTCCCTTGATAAAAACAACTACCATAAAGCACTTGTGAAATCTGACAGGAGGATGTTTGGACAACTATGATTTTTTTTTTTTTTATAATTGTTTCATGTGGATTGTAGTCTGGACTTTGACTAGGCCACTTCAAAGTTTCCCTTTTCTTTCCATTTAGAGTGAGACTTCTCTGTGTGCTTTGGATTATGGTTCTGCATAGTTACCAAAATGTTCCCCAGGTTAAGGTTATGAACTGATGTACGGACTGGTTCTTTAAAATTCAATTCAATTCAATTAAATTCAGTTTATTTATATAGCGCCAAATTCACAACACATGTCATCTCAAGGCACTTTACAGTTCAACCAGATCATACAGTCAAATTCATACAAAGTTTTCTATCTAAGGAAAACCAGTTGATTGCATTGACTCATTGACTCAAATACAATCCCTCACACTAAGCATGCTTGTAGCGACAGTGGAGAGGAAAAACTCCCTTTTAACAGGAAGAAACCTCCAGCAGAACCAGGCTCAGTGCGAGCGGCCATCTGCCGAGGCCGACTGGGGTTCAAGGAGACAGAAGCAGAGACACAAAAAGCAGCTGTAAAAGGCGGCCCCGTCCAGGAAACACACAGCCAGGCAGACGAGCTCCGAGCCAGCTCCCATGCCAGAGGACGAAGAGAGCACATCCACTCAGTCACGGTCAGAGAAACAGGACCACACTGGAAAACAGGCCGATCTCCAACATCTATAAACAAGGGTGTTGATGGAAGCAGCACAGCTGATGTTTCTTTCCAGGATGACGTCACAGCCAAACAGGAACAGACGAGGCAAAGCTACTCTGAGGAAAAGCAGAGAGAGCAGAACGTTAGAGACTGGATTTTCTGTAACATGTTTCGGTGTCGCGTGGTTATCGCGCACGCATGTCAACATACCTTTGTCGCATGTCCTCCCACGCTCTCATACCCCCTGTTGGCCTACTGTCAAAGAAAACGAACCACTGGTGCTGTAAAAACTCCCCCAAAAAAACTTAATGGCCCTTTCAAATACAAATTAATCATCCAGATGTATTTGTAGCCGTTAATGATGGTCTGATGTTCTTTGTATGAAATGCTGGATTTCCATCGGATGCAACAGATTTGTTTGAAGGTTCTAGCCTTTTTACTGTTTTATGTAAGTTATACCTGATAGACAAAAGAAGAATCTTTAAAGTATTTAGTGTCAACTGTGATAATAACAATAGTAATAATTGAACTCTATTGTTTTCACATTGGAGAAATTTACCTCTGCATTTAACCCATCCCCTTGGGGAGCAGTGGGCTGCCATTGTGGGGTGCCCGGAGAGCAGTGTAGGGTTAAGGGTCTAGCTCAGGGAGTGGCAGTCTTTTGGAGTGGGGCTCGAACTCAGAACCTCCAGATTCCAAGCTCTATTCCCTATCTACTAGGTCGCCATTCCCCCACAATAATGTTCATTTTTGACATATAGAGTTTTTCATCCAGGTCCTCGAGGGTACAGCTGATTTTCATTGATAGCTGATAAATAGGCTTTTCCTGAACTGCAATCATCAGAATCAGCTGTGCTGAAGCAGGTAAACATCTAAAACCTACCGACCCTCGAGGGCTGGCTTCAGGCAGGCCTGATCTAGGTCTATTAGTTCAGTTTAGATCTAAAGCTTGGTTTATGCTGGATACGTCCGCAAGGTCTGTGCGGACAGAATTTCTCCACTACACACCTAGGAGAATTTGTAACCATGTGGACAGATCCGCAAGGATAAACATGGTGAGCAGCAGCAGCTCCTACTGGGGGTTTGTGAAAGTAAACCTGAGATTTTTCAATAAATATCACCGCTATCAACAGATTGTAGGATACATCTTGGAAGGAAATGGCTGTCGCTCTTGGACGGTGGGAAGAGGCCATAAAGCTGTAAACGACTGGGTTGTACGTTTGTCAAGCATAATTATCTAACCAGAACCCCTCCTTCCACATGTTCACTGAGTCCTCACATGGCTTTTAGAAAATTTAACATATGACCTTTTTTAGCTTTTTCTCCACAAGTTCACAACTGAACAATCTGATCTCTTGGCTGTTTATCTTCTTCATACTTTTCTTACCAAGCCTGTTTTTTCTATCTCGATGCAAAAAGACCCTTTTGTCAGGATCCAAACCAAGGACCTTCTTGGTGCAAAGCTACAGTCGTATACATGCACCACTGTGAAGCCCAAGTGTGGAAAAAAATTTGATAGAAAAATACATATTTTATTGGAAATATTAAAAAAACGAATTTTGTGTGAATTATACTGTATTGTAAACATTATTTATATGAAATAAGAAGACAAAACTGAATTATTGCAAATAGGCATGACATTAAAAGGTTCACAGACATATTTTGGAAGCATTCATAACAAAAAGCTTAATTTATTCTGATATAACTACACATAAATATTGTCTTTAATAACAGGCAGTCTAAAGGCAAATGGTTACACTGGATTTCAAATCCAAGCCACATATTTTTATAACAAAATTCTTTAAAACAAATCCATGGATTTTCTTCTACTTTATGATTATATGCCAGTCTGACTTAATCTAATCCAGAACCAAAGTACCTCAAAGTTTGGAGGAGTAATAACAACATGCAATGGGAAAAAGCCCACAGGGTTTATGGCATGCTCTATACTAAACTTCCTATACTTTGTCATAGTAGTTGAGTGTATTAAGGAAGTATATGTTCTAAGTTTACATAAAAGATGAAATATAGGCTGATTAAAAAAAAAACTACTAACACAGAAAACAGCATGACCAGCGTCACAGGCAGAGCTGTTTGTGTTTTAATGCCTTGGAGGAAATAAATGGTTTTAATCTGCTTGCTCTTCCAACTCAGTGCTTGGTTTCCCCTTCATCCAATAGAGCAGACAATTATAAATATATCTGAATCATATGCATTATTATACACTTTCACAGCAATGAGATAATATCTCCAGTCCATTAAATTACTTCTGATTTTTTTTCTGAAGTGTATATTTTCAGGATTTCAAAGGCTTCTGAGGTGTAGAAAATGGATTTTAGTTTATCAACACTTTCATTGTTATAAAAGCTTTTTGATGGGAGTATCTGAGATTTGTGATTGATTTCCTCAGTCGTTATGGCTTTAAGGAGAATCGATGCAGCACTGCATGATGTTTGGATTTGATATACTGTGAAAATGTCGTCTTTCTTTCCTCTACTTATGCATATCATACATCTTACATGCCTTTTGTTGCTGGCATTGTTTATAACTTATAATGCAAACATACCAGAATATTCATT